TGTGAAATGTAAATATTGGACAAATTATTTGGTGTTTGTGTTCAGAAATATTTTAGTAATAAAACTGAAACCGTTTCTGTCTTTCCATCGACACCACATTTATTTCTTCAGAGGCAAACAGAAACGTGTGGTGTCCTGTTGGGTCATTTAAAGAGCTGCTGGTCCGGGTCGGTCTGAACGAAGCAGAACTCCTCCACAGCAGAGTCCGAGCCTGAGGTCCAGCAGCTGTTGGTGCACGTGAACACCAGCACGGTTCCAAACTCCAGCTCTGAGCTGCCGCTCCTCCTCTGCAGCAAGCTGACCAAAGCAGGCATCAGCTGCAGCTCAAAGGTTCTGGACCCCCCGCAGGAGGTGCACGCCGGAACCAGCTGGGCCATGTTGGACGGAGGCTCTGAGATGAAGAGGGGCTTCCCCCCCCAACAGTAGCGCAGGATCTGCTGAGGACAAGCCGAGATGGTCTTCATAAACCTGGAGAAAACAGCATCTCCGTGTCGCACTCTGGTCTTCTCGTACTTCTCTTCTCCAGCCCCTCGACCCTCCTCCGGCCCCCGCACTGCCGCCCCCTCCCTCTTCTCGTAGTCTCTGAGCAACTCCTGAGCGTGGTCCAGGTCTTCGTCTCCTCCACCCAGATCTGACTCCTCCAACACACTGATGAAGAAAGGGCGGTAGATGTGAACGTCTTTGGGTTCTTCCAGGCTGAGGTTCTGAAGTCCACGGCTGACGTCCATCTGCCCGACTGGAAGGACCAGAAGAAGAACGTTACTGAACCATTCACTCCAGTAGGAACTGCTGGAAACGAGCACGCTTTGGTTAGAAGAGCACGCTCATCTCATGTGATCAGTTGGTGTCCAGTCCTGGTCCTGGAGGTCCACCGTCCTGCACGTTCTGCAGGTTTCTCTGCTCCAGCACACCTGACCTGAACGAATCGGTGATTAATGGTTTTTATAAGAACGTGAAGACAAAGTCACCGAGTCCGGTTTGTTGAAGAACAAGTAAAACATGCAAGGTAGAGACCTCGAGGACCAGGACCGGACACGTCCGCACCAGACCAGGACCGGACACGTCCGCACCAAACCAGGACCGGACACGTCCGCACCAGGACTGGACCGGACACGTCCGCACCAGGACTGGACCGGACACGTC